TAGAGAAGTTAGCGCTCGCCTTCATCTCAACAGCTAGGCGCTTGCGACGTTACTTTCAGAGTTATACTGTTGTTGTGATCATAGACCAACCTCTAAAGAGAGTCTTAGGAAAATCAGATGTATCTGGGAGACTCCTCAAGTGAGCAGTAGAACTTGGAGAGTTCGACATTCAATACCAGCCAATGGCGGCCATCAAAGCAAATGCATTAGCAGATTTTGTTGTTGAGCTTACACCAGCAGAAGAAGAGGAGATAATGAGGCAAGCGCCCAAGACAGTACAAGTGCCCAGGTGCACAGGGCAGGCGCCCAAGCGTCTAGGCTTGGCGCCCAGGTCCCTCCTGGAGACCAGTTCTCCTCTCCTGGTGCCCTGTTCTCCTCTCTAGGTGCCCTACTCTCCCCTCCTAGAGACCAGCTCTCCTCTCATGGCCCCTTGCTCTCCTCTCCAAAAGCCATGCTCTCCTCTCCTAAAGACCAGCTCTCCTCTCCAGGCGCCCTGCTCTCCTCTTCAGGCGTCTTGCTCTCCTCTCCAAGCATCCTGCTCTCCTCTTTAGGCATCCTGCTCTCCTCTCTAGGTGCCCTGCTCTCCCCTCCTGGAGACCAGCTCTCCTCACTAGGCGCCCTGCCTTCCTCCTAAGGCGCCCATGTACTCTCAGGAGCTCAGTCTAGCATCCAGGCTCCTAGTGTAATCTTCGAGCCTTCCTCTCTACCACTCTGAAAGCTCTATGTAGATGGCTCCTCGACCAGCGAAGGAGGAGGAGCAGGCCTGATCTTGATCAGCCCCGACGGTACTCCCCTCAAGTATGCAGTGAAGCTTCACTTTACTGCTTCCAATAATGAAGTGGAATACGAAGCCCTCCTTTCTGGATTAAGATTGACAGCTGAAATGGAAGCCCAAAACCTCGTCACTTACAGTGACTCTCAACTGATCGTTAATCAAGCAAAAGGAACTAGAATGCAGGAATACCTCGGCATGGTGAAAAGCTTGATCACAAAGTTTCAATACTTCCAGATCAGTCACATTTTGAGAGAAGACAACATGGCCGTTGATGCACTGGCTAGGCTCGCCTCATCTTTGGGAGCCCCACCAGGAGGACCAACATTCATCGGTCACCAAATCAGACCAAGTAAGTTAGACATGGAAGCCATAAATATCAACTGTGCATCGTTGGAGTCAAATTGGATGACCCCGATAAGAGCATACCTCCAAGAAGGTACGTTGCCAGACGACCCTCTAGAAGCTAGGAAGTTCAAGGTTAGAGCCTCCAAATTTACTATCCTGCGAGACACCCTGTACAAGAGAGGTTACTCATTGCCACTACTGAGATGCCTCTCATTTGAAGAAGCTGACTATGCAATGTGGGAGATCCATGAAGGGGTTTGTGAAAATCACTCAGGAGGGCGGTCCCTCGTCCACAAGACGCTCAGACAAGGCTACTTTTGGCCTAGCATGATGAGGGACGCCCAGGAATTCGCCAAAAAGTGTGACAAATGTCAACGTTTTGCCATTGTGCCCAGGTAGCCACCAGAAGAACTCACGGTCATCATAAGTTCGTGGCCCTTCTCCAGATGGGGCATTGACATCCTAGGCCCCCTCTCTCTCAGTAGAGGACAGTTCAAGTTCATGGTGGTAGCAATGGACTACTTCACTAAATGGGTGGAGGCCGAACCCTTAGCGAATATAACAGATGCAAAGGTCAAAGATTTTATTTGGAAGAACTTGGTTTGCCGCTTTGGGATACCCCATGCCATTGTAAGCGACAACGCCAAATAGTTTGACAACAAGCTCTTGAACTTCTTCTACTTTGACATTCAAATAAAGCAGCCTCATTCAAGTCCGACGCACCCGTAGTTAAACGGACAAGTAGAAGTCATGGTAAGAACGATGCTGCGCAATGTCAAGACAAGACTCAAAAATGCGAAGGGTCTTTGGGTTAACGAGCTCCCAGGTGTATTATGGGCTTATCGAACCACACCACGAGCTCCAACTGGGGAGACCCCTTTCTCTCTCGCATTTGGAACTGAGGCAGTCATCCCTGTGAAAATCGAGGTGCACTCTCTAGGGTCCAACACCACAACCCCGACACCAATGAGGAAGGACTCCGCATCAACCTCGACTTGGTAGAGGAGGCAAGAAAGATGGCTATGGTCCGCAACGCAGAGTACAAGCACCGTATGGCAAAATACTACAACTCGAAGGTGAAGCCTCGTTCCTTCCACCCAAGAGACTTGGTCCTCAAGAAAGTTATCCTCGCCACAAAGGATTCACGGGAAGGAAAGATGGGACCAAATTGGGAAGAACCCTACCTCATAATAGAGGTGGTGAGGCCAGACACTTATAAGATCCAGAATTCTGAAGGGAAAGTCTTACCCCATCCATGAAACGCGGAACACTTGAAGAGGTACTACCAATGACACCTTGAGATAGTAGAAAAGTTGAGGACTTAGTTTTATTTTTTGTACTCTTTTGTGGGGCTATTACCCAATATTGCTTTATATAAGCAGAAAAATGAATAAAATTTCAGAGAATTACTTCAAAAAGATCTTTACATTTTTATATTCAACTTCTCAAACTTCAAAGTAGTATCAGCGGCAAAAACCACTTTTACAAAAGTATGGCTACAAAATGCCTTTTCAAAAAAAAAAACCATAAAGTCTCCAGCACGCAAACAACTCATGGTCGTCATTCTCCTCCTCATCATCCTCGGCATCGTCAGAATCTCCACCACTGTCATTTGGCACCTTCGTTGGCAAGAAGCCTGAGACGTCAATATCGGGAAAAGTGGCGAAAAACTTTCCCGAAGCTCCTCATAACCGTCAATGAAGGTATCTGCAAGGCCACTCTCAAAGTCCCTCTCAACTATCACAGCCCTCTCCTTAGCCTGGGAAGCCTTCTCCTCGACCTGTGAAGCCCTCTCATGAGCTGCCTTCACCTTTGCCTCTACGGCAGCCTTTCTGAGCATGACCCTTTGTAAGCTCAGTCTTGAGCTTGGTCGCCTTCCCATGGGTCGCCGAAAGCTCAGCCTTACTGAGTGTGGCCCTTTCACGGACCTCAACAAGCTCAGCCTCGAGCCTGAACACCCTCTCATGGGTCGTCGAAAGCTCAATCTCAAGACCAGTTGCCCTCTCACGGGTTGCAGCAAGGTCAGCATTAGAAGCCCTGCCAAAAGCTTCAAGCTCGGTGATCCTCCTCTGAGCAGCAAGAAACTCATTTTGCACCACTTCATGATCGAGCTTCAGCTTGTGATAAAGGAGGGTCCTTGAAAGTAAACACATAGCTGTAGTGGAGGCCGGAAGATAAACAAAAGGTAAAAGAATGTCAGACACTTATGGAAGGGAGAAATGAGAGAAAATAAACTCTTACCTGAGCCCAGCTTTCTAGGAAAGAGCTAAGAATTCCTTTCGTACCCAAGGCACCAATCTCATCCATATCCTTCTTACACAAAAAATAACCCAAGTCGATTCTTGATGACTGGCGCATTACCTAACATGGAGCAGATATGAGAGGGTACTCCGCCAGGATTCCCCATAGGAGGAGTGGATGAATGAGGGGTAAAAAAGGTGGCCAGTAAATGAGACTTTATAGTGGAAGGTCCAATTGAGGGAGTCTTTGACTGAGGAGGCGCCCCTAGAGGAGCCACTTTATAGGAAGGTGCCCAAGGTACCACTTGAGGAGTTGACTAAGGAGAGCTCGCCTTAGGTGACACAGTTGGAGAAGTCACCTGGGAGGTATCCCCCCGTCCTCGCCACCTTAGAAAGAGGGGAACTCCTACTAGAAAGATGGGGCCCAATCATCTCCCTATCTACTACTCTAAAGAAAATAAAAGTGTTACCTAGATGAAAAGTACCAAGTGAAAGAAGAGGGTGCAGAAGAATCAACATACCTTTCCTTTTCAAGGGGGGCTGCTAGACCTTGGAGAGGGACCACTGGCACCAACGGAAGAGGAACCAATAACTCCTCCACCCCTGGCCATGAGAGCTCCCAAGTCCCTTGAAGAGTAAGCTTTCACAGCGTGTAACTTCCATTCTTGGTCTGTGGAGAGCACAGGAGCACCTGTAAGGAATATAGTGAGAACACAGCCTACAGAGAATGGGGTAATAGAGGAATAAGAATGTAAGGCGTACCAACTTTCTTTGGAGCTTCCCATCGTATGGGTACCAACACCTTATTAGCATCCAAAGCCCATTCTCCACCGACAAATATGAAACAAGATTTCCAGTTATGACATTTAGAGGGTAGTCCGGTAATCAACTTGCCTCCCCTCGTGGTAAAATAATACCAGCCTCGTTTAGGAGAAGGAGTTTCACTTGGGTAGTAGGCTGCATGAAATACCTCAGGAGAAGCATCCTCATGATGCATCCTCTTCCATAATGCTAAAAAACTTAACAACACTCTCCAATCGTTGGGTGCCAACCGCCTGGGTGTCAGGGAAAAATAGTTCAAAATGCCACAAATGGGAGAAGGCATTGGGAACCTAAGCCTAACCTCAAGCACCTCCTCATAAATAGCAATGTCACCAGAGGAGTCATCGCAAGCAGGCTCACCTATCTCGGCTCGACGACATAGCACAGTCGGAGGAATATGATAGGTGGAGATAATTCGTAAAATATCAGCGTCCGAATTTAAAGTGCTGGAGATAGTACTTACCTTGGACCCATCATCATCGAGAACCACCTTACCTCAATACTTTTTGACGCGAGAGTGTAAAGCTCTGCCTGAGTCGTTGCCAGAAAGGTCTCTAGGAGTATGATATGATGGCGTAACCTGGACGCCCAAACTGACCGCCTTCGCGTGAACAGGCTGCTCCGCTCAGCAGGCCGCTCGCCTGGGCTGCTTTGCTCAGCAGGCCGCTTGCCTGGGCTGCTCAACGCAGTAGGCCGCGCACTCTTGCCCAACGCAGTAGACCGTTCACCCCTGCCCAGCGCAGCAGGCTGTTCATCCGGATCTGAACCTCTCTCTTGCTCACCCAAGTTGCAAAAACCAGCACCCAAAGAGGCGCCCATCACCCTCTCCTGCTCGCTTGCCAAGTGATCTGCTCGCCCCCTGCACGACCAATAAAGGTGCCCAGCGCCTGGACAGCAACAGCACCTAGAGCCTGCTCGCTTGACGCAGCGCCTCCTTCGCTTGCCCCACTCTGCACTGCACGCCCCACAATGCAGGACTCCATGCCAAAAATCCCTAACCCAGCGCCCACAACTTGTTCCTCCACCATAGCCGCCCCCACATCGGACAACACCATTGACGCGTAAGCAGCGATGATGGCGGACGTTCCAAGCATCTCCACGCCGGAGTCTACCTCATCCCCCATCTCTCCTTGGATCACTGCAACAATCCCATGATTACTTCCTTCATTCGCTATGGATTCCTAACACAATTCCTTGGAGGATTCTTGGAAGTAAAAGCCCTTTTTCACTTTCTCAAGTTTCAATGAAATGAGTAAAGTGGAGAGAGCTACTATTTATACCTAGGGTTTTTTTTTTTTTGAAAACAAGGAAAAAGTAAAAAAGCTCAATTCAAAACCAAGGGCTCTCTCAAAAAGCCAAGTAAAAGTGGAAAAGATTTGAGGTGTTCAGCACGGCAAACTACATCAAGAATGGAGATGGAGCCTTGGTGTCTGATTCAGAAAATCGTTTTAAGGTCTGGGGGTGCTGCCCCTGAGCCCCCGCCACCTAACCGGGCAGGTGGAACCCCGCGACCTATCTGGGCAAGTCGATTCCCGCTGTCGTAGTGCAACATGGATGTAGCGGGTGAGGAGTATTCTTGGGTCAGAATTCAAATTCAGTTGAATGTGCACTTCTCCAAATTTCATTGGACATGGGGCATTGGGGGGCAAATGATGGGTCAAGCCTAAATGGCCCAATCAATGGGAAAAAATTTCAAGTTTATAGAAGACCAAGCAAGCCCTATGAGGTCCAAGACGGTCAAGCCCATCAAAGAGCTATAGGAGTATCCAGGAGCTATACCCTTGCCCCGGTAAGGAAGAGGAGAGGTCGCCAAGGAGAGGAGAGGTCATTAGCTATTAAGTTGCCTATAGTCCGTTATAACCGTCAAGCTACTCAATTACTACACAGGCTTCTATAAATTGTAACCTCTCCCAACACTTGGGGGGCATCTCACAAAATCAAAGCTCCTCTCTTCTCTCTTGTAATTATCTACTCTCCACACACATCGGAGTTAATAAAATTCCCGGCGGACTTAGTCATTGAAAGTGGATGTAGGTCTTGTTGACCGAATCACTATAAACCTTGTTTTCTTTCTTCCTCTACTTATTTTATTGCATTTTATACTACTCACTTGACTAGTGGTGTGCAAGCTAATTTGTGTATCATCACTATCAAACAATACTATCCTATTTAAACCATATGTAAAATAATCTTAATAGGTTTCTATAATTATCTGATATTTCTCCCTACTAGAATCGTATTTACAACGGGTCAAGCCTAAAAGCTAAATTATTTTCACTAATTTCTAAATCATATCCATAAGCTCATAAGGATAGACCCTAAACCAAACAAAAGTTTAAAACTTCTCAAATCCAACTTATTCACTTTTATTTTTATTATTATTGTTATTTCATTTTTTTTTACCCCGGGTATTAGAGTCCACGTACCTAATGGACTCGGGGTTCAAAATTTGGCAAATGCTACATAACACAACTAGAATGAAATCAGGCCCAAGCCCAGTAGCTTAATCAAACTAGACTATTGTTTCCCAGTGTTATTCTCTCTCTAAGTTTCAAATTCACTCTCAACGCCCCCCCCCCCTCCCCAACAAAACAAAAAAAAAGGAAAGAAAAAAGAATGCTAGATTTATGAAATCTATGGCTTCATGATCATTATGAAAAGAGCATACTAGAATCGTATTTACGACGGATCATTATGAAAGGGCAAGAACTGATATATATGGAATGTGTTTCTCAAGGAAAATCATGAAACACTTGACTCGGTACCAATGAGAATTGTTCATTGCCAAGAAGCAGCAATGAGAATTGTTTGTATAAATTTATGATTGCTATAGATGTCTTGTATTTCATTTGGATTCAACCCCAAGCTGACACAATTTTTTTGTTATTCCAAGAAAGGAGAGAAACGATGTGAATTTTCCCTCACAAATATACACGTGAAGCGCACAACAGTACTTAGAGGGGGTTAATGGACAAAACTCCTTTAGGGTCCGGTAGTAGTGTCCTTGGGGCAAAATATTTTGGACAACCCGTTTCTAGAGCCATTTGACAAACTATTTTTATTTTAAATTCAAATCCAAAATAGAAATTAGAATATATTATTATTCGGAAACAAGCGTGTTTGAGTTTTGCAAATGTCACAAATTTCATGGCAGTGTTCATCAATTTTTCTTGTTTCATTTCAAAAAATTTTTGTAATATTAATCATTGATAGAGAACTTTTGTTACTACGTTTCACCCTTTATCCGTGGACATAGTCTTTAAATCCAAACCACGTGTTATTGTATAAACTTTATTTTTTGTTTCGTTTTATTTTTGTTTGTGATATCGGGAATAACAATAAATTAAAATAAACAAATCTGTTATTGTTGCTCTTTCTTTTCCAAAATAGCTTTTGTGCAAGGAGTAGGTGCTATTAGATTGTAACTAAAAAGAAAACCTATTCATTGTCCTCATTATGACGTTTCTCGAATAGTTGTTTGAATAAATATATAAAAAGATGCACTTGATTTCTGTCTACAATTGAATTTGAAACATGCAAGTGGTAGATAACTTTATTTCCATTTTGAAGAGATCGTTGGATTCAAATATGCATCGACTTCTATTGATAACAGCATCTCATTTTGAATAGACCGATGAGCTTGAATATGTGAAAACTAACCCAACAGTAATTTAAGCGGTAACAGGAATGAATTGTAAATTCAGACTTCTTGTATTTAAATTATGGTAAATTTTTTAGGATCAGGTCATGATGAATTTATCTCTTATTAATATTCTAGTTTCGATGTGAATGACATGTTTTTGACAGGATTAGGAAGAATATTAATCAATGGGAGTATAAATTTACTCAAATATTCTTTACCGTTAAACCCAAAAAAATAAAAATATATGCGAAAACTTCTACCGATAATAGAATCTGTGAGAGATTTGCCTTACCCCTGTTTCGGCTCGAATCCCATAGTTATCATTTATGACGTGGAAATAAATATAGGATTGTTGGTGCAGGTAACATTGTTGTTGGCTTGGAATGGTTGGTGCCAACTTTTTGATGTCCTTCGTGGGTACGATCTATGACGTGGTTGCCACAATACCCCCTCTTGTGTTTAACGTTGTAATGAATGTAAAGTTTTATGGGCCTAAACCGAATATTGATGTGTCTAACTGTCAGTCCGATCGTGACTCTGACAACAACAACTCAGAACATTATTTAGTCAGTAATGTTCCATTCACTAAATTTTAGGGTTAAATTTAGAACATAAATGACAGAATTAAATTTAGAACATAAATAACATGATAGTTAATTTAAATTTTTTTATTTAATATCATGTCATTTAGGCCCTAATAAAAACTATAAATAATATACTGTCATATCATTTGTGCTCTAAATTTAGTCTCAAAATTTGATCAACATAGCATTATTATTATGGGGTCTTTGAAAACCGATACACCAAATTAGACTTATTTAGCAAAAAGTAAATAGAACAAAACATGAGTTAAAAAGACAGAAATGTTTATTTTATGGTTATTTAATTCAAAATTTCTTATTTTTAATGCACCTTAATTCATATGTTTTTTTTAATATATATAAATACGTATTTAATGAACCTTTGATTCATGTGTGTATATATATATATTAATGCACCTTGATTCATGCATTTTTTTTTTTGAAAAGTGATTTTGTTTTCAAATTATATTTAATGCACCTTGATTCAAGCGTTTTTTTTTGAAAAATAGTTTTATTTTTAAATTAATTTAATATCCGAATAATATAATAATATAACAATAACAGTGTAACAAATACACTATAACAAAGAAAGTGTCACAAATACATTGTAACAAAAACAGTGTTTAGTAGTTTTGTGTATAGAGTAACAAATTCAAAACGGAGATGAACTATTTTGAATAAATTATATGTTTGATAAAATGTAATAGTACAATATTTTGCGTAAATAACTTGTTACACTATTATTGTTATACTGTTACATTGTTAGTGTTACACTGTTACATTTATATTGTTACACTATTCGGATATTAAATTAATTTAAAAATAAAATTATTTTCTAAAATAAAAAATACATGAATCAAGGTACATTAAAAAATAATTCAAAATTTAGATAAAAGATTTAACAACAAGTATATATATATATATATATATATATATATATATATATATATATATATATATATATATATATATATATATATTAAAGTTCTCCCATAAAACTAGAAGATATTTAATGCATTATTTTTTTAAAAAAAGTGGTGCATTAAATACACATGGATTAATGGAGGGTAAAAATGTCACAATAAAAATAGATAAATTCAAATTATGTACTTAGATACAAATAAGTATTAAAATTAAATATTTAATAACTCTATATTTTTTAGTGTATATTTTTACCAAATAAGTTTAATTTGATGTACCCCTTACAATTTAACCTATTGTTATTCAGTGACCCACCGACCTTACATGAAATAATTACCTAATTATTTATGATGGATTTAATGTCTTTAATATTAATTTATTTGTTTTGTAAACGTGTTGATTCGGAAAACCCACGTAGTAAAATTGGTCGGAAAAATTGCAAAATTTGTAATTGCATTACGGTTGTTTTCCAATTAAAAAAAATGTAAAATGTATGAAAAAGTTAAACAAAAATCCAGTGGTGTAAAAGGTAGTTAAGATGACACTTTTCTCTTTAATCTTTGTGCAGGTCTTTTCTCGTATAAAGTTTCAACTTTTAGAATCGGGTTGACCAGATCTGGATCCTGCCCCGGGAACCTGAAATGTTTTCCATGAGCAGAAAAAAAAAGGACAGTTGGTTCACTTCACTGTACAAAGTGTCAGAGGAAACGGCAATCCACCCCATAGGTTGAAAAGAATCCGTCGAATAAAACGTCTTTTAGAGAGAGAAAGAGAGAGAGAATCAAAACCCGGAATTCCACTGTTTGGTTACAGTAATCTGAAGAATCTTGGGCCGTGGTCCCTTGTAGATTTGATTGGACCATTTGTTTCATTTTCCTTTCCTTTTCTATAAAGTGATCGATCCTTGAAATGAAATGAAAATGAAAAATGGACCGTTTGGTTCATTTCCTTTCCTCTTTAAGAAGGGTTTTCCTCCATGAAAATTGATGTCATGGGTCTAAAAATAGTGGTAATTAATGGGTCATGCGATGTCAAA